GCAGAGACTAATAGAGAATTTCAAGCGCTACAAGAATGTATAATTATTTTTTTAAAATGTATCGATATATTCATAGTAAATTCAAAAACACGACTGAAGCTACTTTTTTCCAGTGGGATATATGATTCTACTTAGTGAACTCATACAGAAGAATGAATAAATAAGATCGAACCCCCTTTTTAGATCGATACTTCGAGATGATTAAAAATTTCAATTGCGATAGTCCGCAACAACTTCTGAAGTGCAGAAATCCTAAAAACTAAATAACAAACCATTTCCGACCAGTCACATTTGTTATTTTCTCAAAATAGATAGGACCACTTTCTTGCAGAAACCATTTCTTGTCCTTTCAAAAATCGCCGGTGAATGCTCATTTTTTTGCCTTCTCCGACTTATAATTCGTGAACGGTGCAATCGAAACTTCTGAATTTTTTATCGCAGATAAAGAACCGTGAGTTCTATTCCCGACAAGGCTTTCGTCCGATTTGGTTGACCCAAACACGAGTTATGAGGAAAACAGAGCCTGTGACGAAATTTCATAAAATGAATTTTTGTTTTTTTTGAACGTATGTAAACCCATGTCGTCAAAATCGCCTAACTTTTACCGAAGAAACATAACAGAAAAATCGCCATTAATCACAATTTTACGTCAGAATCGCGATAAATCGGCAAAAGTTAGGCGATTTTGACGATATGGGACGTTTCTCATTTTGCTACGAAATAAAACCCGTAGAAAAAAATGTTTTACATAAAAGTTACGTAGTTTTGGAATAGGTTTCAGAATATCTACTTGATTTTCAAAATGAATTAGATCAAATGAAAAAGTGAAAATACCCGTTGTGACGGAATTGCACCCGTTTTTCCAATGCTTCATTGCAGAAGGTTAAACTGAATGACAAAGTTGCTTAGAAAAAGTAATTTCAATAGAAATAGATAGTTTTACACGCGTTCTATTAAAATAACTGCAAAATAAAGTTTCCGAACTTGTTTAACTAACTGACATACTGCTTTTCTAGAAATCTCTTCTAACTTGTAAAATCGCTCAGAATGTCGGAACTTTGAACAAACTGAGCCATTTTGTAGAGAATTGTATTCTTCGTCGAATGGTATAGTTTTAAAACAAGAAAATACCTGGATCAGGAAATAGAAATTAGAAAATTTCAAAATTTTGAATTTAACTTTTCATTTCTGCAAAAATTGAAGTTAATACTCAGTATTGTAAACTGCATCCAACGATGCGCTTTTGAACACACTAGCAAACAAACAATTTTTTTGAGTTTCATGAACCTTCTGATTTGAGGGAAACTATTAACTGGTCCCACTGTTCAGTTGCTGTGTGTCAGACCCTTCAAATTAACAATATCAGTAAGTCAGCTGCTGATGTAGATAGGTAGAGTTCTTTAGAATGAAGATGAATTCTGGAAATTGTCTACGTCATTCTCTGTATTCGCTTTCAGACAAAATAAACTTTTTTACTAAAATGTATTGGATGATCGCGAACATAAATGCACTATATTTCTACTCAAGAATTACTCTTTCGCTAATTTTTTGTTAAAAGTGAGCATGAGAACTAACCATATCTGATTCTTGTCGAACAAGACTTAGGACTGAAACTTCTATTGACTATGAAAATAATTAACAATACATGATATTTATTATCAAGAATATGTTTGCACAATATTAACAAAAAACAAAATATAACAATTATTAAATTACGTTTAAAAAGAAGCGAGCACCATATAAACACACGTATGGAACAAATGATATTAATAGATTAATTACTGTCGTCAATGAATAGGTACTTTTGGTTTTAACCAAAAAGAAAAATTAGAAATTGCATCTAAGGATCAATAATAAATTAAAGAAAATATATACATGTGTATGTGTATGCGTGTGTTTGTGTTTAGGAATGTACACGAATAAAATCTGAATCGTTTGCAAATTTATCTTAAACAATCTTGATTATAATTGACAATTTTATCTTCTAAAGAAAATTTTATTGCAAACCAATTGACTAGACACTTTTCATCATTCATAGCAGTATTAAACTGTTCAAAACTAATTTTCCACCCATCACTATTATTATTATTTGCATTATCGATAGCTGTTGATGATTGTTCGTCAGTAGTAGACGTTAACGATGTGTCATTGGAGATTTTTGATGTTGAATCAGGACAAAATGATTTATATAATTCACCTAAAATTGAAAAAACAAGATTAAAATTTTAAATTAATCATGATCAATGTTATGGGCATTTCGTTCCTTTTGATTTTTTCCCTAAAAAACAGATTTCTAATGTGATTTGAATGGTTGAAAGATTTTCCTATCAGAAAAGGTAAAAACAAAAGCAATATTAGAGCTGTTGAAAATGATTCTGTAAAAAGCCAACACCCTGAAAAACAGAGTTCACAGAACCCACACTGAAAACCTTTTTTCGATAGCTTCGAGGCTCGACTGCTTTTTGATGGAAAAATGTCATGGAGGACCGAGAGGCGCCTTATTGTATTGAAAAATGTTTGCTTTACAAACATTCTCTGTTGGACAAAAACCGATTCGGACTCTGAGTCGAACTTTCCGAGATGTTGGTCCCTTTAGTTTCTTCTGTCTTCTATTTTTAGGTAAATGTTGTAATGTGCCTAAATTTTCCGTTAAGAAGACAGATCAGTAAGATAATGAAGGGAAGTGAATGAAATGTATCAGCGTTGTCAGTACGTGTATTTCCCACTGACATCATATATGTCTCTTCTAATGGTTGTCATTACTAGTCGAAAGATACTATAATATGTAAAATAAGAGTGTAGCAAGTGAATGTTCGTTCTATCGATTCAATTCAAGACGGCAGGAAGTCAGCGTTATCTAGAATTCGTATTTTCCTCTATCTGCATTTCACATTAGTTCTTTCTTGTTATTTTCCATTCAATACTAGAAAAATATATTTTAAACTGGTATACGACAAATGCGGAATACTCACATGCATGCGGAATCCTGATGAGCATATTATAGTGGCACTACTCCCTCAAAAAAAATCACATCTTTCCCTTTCAACAGCATATACAGTATAATATCCCTGGATGATAAGTCGATCTGAGAAATTTATTGAACAAAAGCTCGCGCTCCAGCTGTCGTCCTATGATCGGCAGCCTTCTTCTCTTCCGATTGTTTTGTGATTTTTCGAGATTCTATTATTCTTGACAATGTTATTATGTTGTTATGTTCTGTAGTCACAGTATTTAAGAAATAAAAAGTACAAAATATGAACTAAACGTAATTCTTATGCACTAACATGTATGTTTTCAAAACATAGAGATATGAAGTGTGTAGAGATGTGAATTTGTATAAAGAAAAAATTGATGAGTGACTAAATTTGAGACTATAAACTATTTGTTGGATAAAACAAAATAAAAAATAAAGATAGAAATCTTCACTATGACAATTTGCTATAATGATTTTCAGCGATGAAGATACAATGAATTACATATATTCTTACCGGTTTTCAATAAAATAGTGGTTGAAGTTGTTAATGATTTAAATAATTCTTCCTCATTCGTTGAACCAGTAATCAAACAATAGAGTGATTTACATAAATGAATAAATTCACTCTAAATAGTAAATGACATGAAAAAATATCAATATCTTTTTCGAAAATCGTTACCTGACTAATTAATGGCAATTTACTCTCTTTTAAATGACTTAATTCTCCATTCACCGAACATTGTTGATCTATTTCATCAAGTGGTTTTTTTATTGTGTAAAGACCATTTCCAAATTGATTTACTCCGACAATAGCATTCGCTATATTAACAGGATAATTCATAGCATGGGATGGTAGTGAGTTAGACCGTGATGATTTTGTGGATGGAAATAACATTGATAATGCTTGAATCTGATGAGCATCATCTAAATGGAAGAGAATCTGTGTTAATATATTGGAAATAAATGTTATTTTATTGTTACCATCGAGATGTGTTATAAACAATAATTTTAGTTTTGTTTGAACATCTCCAAGACACATTATATCCCATAGACGGATAAATTTTGGAAAATCAATTTCATTTAACATTGGATTTTGTGTTGGTGTATAGAATGATGGGTGATTATATAGACACATAGTCTAAAATTTAAAAAAATAATGAAAGAAAAAATGAAGTTCAATTTCAATTTACATTACCTACATGAAATAGTTTATCATAAAGATATTCCGGTGATTCACCAACATACCATGGGGATAGACATTTGTACAAAACTAAAAATTCTGTCTTCCCAACACGGTAAGATTCATAGGCGAGTTTTCGAGGATCACTAGCTTCAGTCAATGGTATACGAGAGACGTCCTAAAAACATAGACATAAAAGTAAGAAACAAATACACAGTGGAGATTCAGACGAACATTTAGATAAAAAAAAATCAAAGTTAACCTTTTCAGTTTTGATTAAAACTCATAAAGTCGGGTGTGTTTCCTTAGAATAACGGCTTTTTTTATCTCTATTGAAATAATGAGAAAACTTGTGCTAAATAATTCAACTGAAAATCGATATGAAAAGCAAAAGTTAATTTTTCTATGTTATTATACACTATTACTACAAATGACTTCAATAATGAACTCTTTAGACTAACAACTAACGAAAAAAATATTTAGATTGAACGGAAACTGGAAGAAAAATATTAGTTTTTATGCTAATAAATAAATCTGCGAAAAACACTTGTTTAGTCTAATGAATGCGCATGATTTGTTGGTTATTTTGTTTGTCATGTACTCAAAAGGTACGATGTAATCGAATTTCGATACCTTCAAGTCTTATGGATCCTTGGGCAAGTTACTTATGCCTTAGTATCGCAGATTACCCGTATGATAGCGCACTTATTGACATTTGTCAGCATCCTAGATCGGTAATAGTAGTTGCAGTGCGAGGTATTCTTCCTCCTTCTTCTTCCTAATGAACGCATTAAACCTTCAACTGGCTCAAACTTTGATCAAATTTTCTTCTACTCCTACCACACCTATGGTATTAATGGAGCCGATTAACATCCTCCTCCTCAGCCTCAGAATAAACTCCAAAATTCTTGGTTTTTCATGTAAACCATGTAGGACCAACTCTGTCCTACAGATCTTTCTTCAGAAAAAAGCTGTTTTTATTTAATCATCTATCATTAGACATACATACGACTTATAATATTTGAGACACAAGAAGAGTCGAATCTATTGGGAAAGAGTATTATACCCATCTCCAAGCCAAAAATACCCACTGTGAGATAGAACGATTCCAGTACACAGTTTGATTGCAAACTATTGTCCATCCAAAAAACCAGTGGTCTCTGTTATTTTTTAAATAACTTTTGATAGAAAAATGATAGAAATCTGTGGTCTTCAGAAATCGAAAGACGACAGTTTAAACTATATTTTCACAAGTAAAATCATCTTTCGAAAATATTCTGAAGATCAGTTTTCTACAAGATCTTTGGAAAACCAGCTCGGATTCCTTGAATCCGACATAGTAATCTATCGTTCTTTTAGGACTTTTCTACTGTTAGATTTAGACTATTAGGAATGCATGAAAACATATGTTCTCGACTATGCTAAATCTCGTGGCAACATTTGTTTTTCAAAAAAGTTTCAAAAACCTAGTGAAAATGTATAATAGATGAAATATTCCATTTTTGCCTATTTTTGAGTAAAATCAAAAAATTCATAACCCAGTCAGGACCCATCCAAATACGTCAGAATATCAAGATGTACTCTACTTTACTTGCTCTAAACGATCTTTTACTTGAGAATAGTAAAAAACATTCTTGTACTTCGAAAGATTTCTAGAAAACGTTTTCAAAACCCAAAGTATTTTCCGTTGATTTTAAAGCTTTTATTGAACTGCATAGTATTGAGCAGGTAAAATAGAGTACATCTTGATATTCTGACGTATTTGGATGGGTCCTGACTGAGTTATGAATTTTTTGGTTTTACTCAAAATAGGTAAAAATGGAATATTTCACCTATTATACATTTTCACTAGGTTTTTGAAACTTTTTTGAAAAACAAATGTTGCCACGAGATTCAGCATAATCGAGAATCCATGCTTTCATCCATTCCTAACGACAGAGAAGCCCTAGAGCTTCGGGGAAAAGTCCATAGCGCCCAAACCAAGCAAAATCAAACTTTTGCTTAGATCGTATTTTTTAGAGAATATTTCGGACGATCCATCTACGGAAAAAGAACGATAGACTACTATGTCGGATTCAAGGAATCCGAGCTGGTTTTCCAAAGATCTTGTAGAAAACGGATCTTCAGAATGTTTTCGAAAGACGATTTTGCTTGTGAAAATATAGCTTAAACTGTCGTCGTTCGATTTCTGAAGACCACAGATTTCTATTATTTTTTTATCAAAAGTTATTTAAAAAACAACAGAGGCCACTGTTTTTTTGGATGGACAATAGAAAGACAGAATGTTCAACAATGGATCAAGTGCGTAAATCACTTGATCAATACGTACAGTACCCACGATCATCAATTAAATTTATATGTATGCTAAGCAGACAAATAAACCTAACAGTCAAAATTGCTGACCTGCGGAAGATATTCGTTGACTAACGTCGCACATGAGTATACACTGAATAATAACAGCGCGTCCCCAGCACAAATATATTCCAAATTTTGTTGATGTTATTCTTACTTTAAATACGTAAAATAAATCTTTGATTTGTGATTCAGTAAATTTACAATATTTAGTTGTATTTTTCGCTGCACTTTGCGATAAATTTTCTCCCATGCCTTGTACAACTTTTAGACGATGTTTTAAACGTAATTTATTTATATCATCTTCATTAATTTCGTTGTAATTTATATAAGATTGTTTTATCAAATAAACAATGGATGTTTTTTCATCAGATAAATCGTCACTTTCATTAAGTTTACGTACTGAACTTGTTATATTTTCTAAATAAGTTGTTAAAACCATAATAGCATCACCATCATCATTACATTGCATTAATTCATCACGATTTTCATGCAAGATAATTAAAGCTATTTGAAATAAAACCTAAACATTAGCAAGAAATAGTTATTTATTTATTCAAAAAGATTTATTCTTCATACCTTAATACCGTCGAAAAAAAATATATCCATGACATACATTGCTGAATGAAATGGTAAAACACTTTTAAAACAAAAAGAAGGTTAAATTAAATAATTAAATATGTTTTCTAACAATTACACATACGAAACAAATAATGTTAGGAACCACGATAAACTAATGCAACTAGCCACGCCTAATATTTTTAATTTTTCATATAAATCCGGAAGATAATCTTTACAATACTCCGTAAATACACCTAAAAGAGCAAATTAGTTAAATAAATTCAAAATCGAATCATTTTAAACGTACTCACCTTGATCTATCAGAGCACCAACAACTTTTTTATTATAATAATCAGGTAATAAACGTTCACATATAGATGCAAGTGTCCAAAATGCATCTTCCTCATTCATATACAATAACAATACGCCACCAATTATATTCATTGCTTGACAATAACCTAAAATGCAAAGACTAAAGTATATATAATACGAGAAGAAAAATAAAACTATATTTCAATCTCTTACCCACATCAGGATTATAACAAGCATACGCTTTTAACAGACGTCTTAATGCATTTATACCATTTTCATTTTGAAATGCTTTCTGATCGGGAAGAGCTCTATAATCGATACATTTATTGTAACAATTATTATATGAAATTATAATCATTTACTCATTTACCTATAGACATCCCGTTCAATTTCTTCATTAATTTGTTCATTCTTATTTTCAAGTGATTTTTGTACCAACTGTATGTATAAATTTGGATTTGATATTTTCTAGAAACGAAAAATTATTCCATTTATTTTTCTAAAAGTCAAAACTGTAGTAGAATTAAGAAAAATAAACTATTCAAAACCAAAATTTTCTTTTTATTTAGCGTAGAATAAGACAGATATAAAGAGAGAGTAAGAGATATGCTATTTTCGAATGAAATACAGAAGAAAAACTTTCAAACTCTATAATTTTTGTCTAAAAAATGTACGTGTGTAGAAGAGAGATGTGAAAAAAATGAAATAAATGCTCGACCAACTCCTGACATGGTATTGTCTCGTGATTACTATGAAGTATAAACTAAACAATATATACTGAAAATAAACTTGCTAAACTTGAGAATGCATTAAGCTATCGATCTATTCTGTGATTCTAAGCAGAGCCAGTTTTTACTAAAATTTGAGCGATCATCAGTATAGTAGTGATGCATTACGGCGACAGAATCCCGTCAGATGCGGTCATGCAATAAACTAATGGTTCATATTCAAAATCAGCTCCTCTCTTCTGATAAATTTCTTAGAACAACTCACAGTTGTCAAAATTTCCCTCGAAACTGACAGAAGACAGCACGTGTCAACGCAGATAAGTTTAAAATCACGAATATACGAACTTGAAATAAAACCACTCGAGATAGTTGATTATCTTTATGTTTCATACGAAAGATAGCTACTATACTATCAAGATCAATGTGAATTCGACATAGTTCAGAATGAATGTGCATGTGATGCACAAGTAGTTTTATAGACGCGAATCAGCATCTTTTCCATTAATTTGTGTCTTCTCACTTTCTCTGGTCTCAATGAAATATCTCATATCGTACATAGGCAAAGCAACTTCTGATAACGGTGACTGGAATAAGTTCACTTTGCAAGTGGAAGACATAGTCTCTACGCATTGAGCAAGCCAGATAATCTTTCTATATTTCAGAAATGTGTGTTGGATGCAATGCACTATGCAGGACGAGTTCCAAAATTGTTATCGAAAACACGAAGCACTGCGATCGATGCTGTGAAAACGTTTACTGCAGAAGATAGACAGATGAGTTTTTGAACGATGTGAAGCTGGAGAAACACGATGCCTCACTTTTACATAGAATAATGTTGTTAAAATCAAGAGACAATAGTTAAAATGAAATCTACATCAAGTCACTTTTCTAGCGTATGTTACGTTAATACTTTTCCAAAACTCTAAGACCTTTGAATTTAAACTCGACGTGTTATGTGCAGATTGATCAAAATTCTCACTGCTTTAACAATAAGAACAGAACAGATCAAAATCTCTTTCTATAACAAGTTATATCCAAGCGTACTTATTTGTTAACAAAGAATATTGAATAAATATCATAAACTCGAAAATAAAATAGAGTAACAATTTACCTCATGAATAGCACCACTAAACGTCAGCCATAGTTCCGATCTTAGTGAATCTGGTAAACCTTGAAATATTAATTCATACATTTCATTCGTTCGGTAGATGCTCGGTCCTCTATAAAACAAATATGTAACGAATGATAATTGTACCTTGACATTTCAAATTACCTTCCGTATATTGAAAAATGATTATTCCAAGAGGCTTCTTTTGTTTTCTCTAATGCTTTTCGTTGATCTGAGTAGGCTTCACAGAACTGAACGTATAATAGCCCACACATTTCTGAAGAAGAAAATGAATGAAAGCACTATAATGTGTACATATTTGTGTACGTACCACACTCAATTTTTGAAGGACTGAAAAATACCAAATAAGACTTATTAAATATTCATCAATAGAACAACTAGAAAATTTCTTACGGCGAAAATGTTCCGTCAAGTTGTGATAGCATTTCAGATAATTTATTCAAGACAATTTCACGTTCAGCAAAATCAAAAAATAAGAAATTGCCCTAATATAAAATCGCGGAAATTTTAAGATAGACTTGTTGTACGAAAAATCCATAAATATACATACTCGTTCTTTTGTCGATATTATAAAAGCAGATGTGCTATCAATATCTGACGTAACATGTGAGGGTTTTTCAACAACCAACACGTTTTGCAATGGAATAATTACATCAACCTGGTGACGAATCTAAATTACAATAGCAAACTACCAGCTATAGTTTAGAAATCGTTTTCGTCCATAAAATATTTTTTTATTTCTCTGTCGTTGTGTATACTATCTGTTGTTAAACGAGTCATAGAACATCATTGAATAGATTTATTGAAACTTGAAAACTCATTTTCGAGAAAAGAACGTGAACATGTAGTTTAATCTATGTTTTTTCAAAAGACATATAGTTAATGAATGAACAGATAGGTTTTAGACGGTTTTCTAAGAGTCCTATCGCGCTTGTCAAGGGAACTTTTCGAAATATAAAACTTTCGTTTCTGAAAAAAATTGTAATTCTCCAGAAGCTACAGAGTTGAAAAAGTTGAAAAATCTGTGCAGAACCACCTCGATCAAAGTAGATATCGATGTCTAATTTGTTTTAAACTGAACTATCCACCTATTGTGTGATTCTAAGCAGAGTCAATTTTTGCCGATAAAGGTAGTTTTACGTGTGTTCACACTTTTCCGATCTTTTTCCATAGCCATAATGACCGGAGTGGTCACAAATATCTGTCCCAATTGTGGTCAAGTGTGTAAAAATCAACGAGGTGTAAAGATTCATCGACGAACTTGTGATAAAAAAGTAGTCAAACAAACTCCAATGAGTCAAGGATTG